CCCAGTGAGGCCAACTTACCTCATCAAACATCAGTTTGATGGGGATCCCCTCTAAGTGCGCCCTCTAGTGGTTCCTCAGTGCCTTGAAGTCGGCCTCTCTCCTCAGGCCTTGAGGCCCTCCAGCCTCTGGCCCCAACTTCTTTTGCAGCTTCCACTTCAGTTTGTCTCTGTGGGCGCTCCAGGCACTAAGCTAGAGCGTGGCCAGATGGTAGCAGTTTCCCTGGAGAGGAACAGGACTGACCCATGTTCATGGAATAGGATTCCACATGGGTCCCACAAACGAGGGGGCTGGACCCCTGTTAGGGGACTCAGTGCATGTTGCCCTTGGTATGAGGACAGCTGTCTTGTGGCTTCTGGGTCATCCATCCTGTCCCCTGCCATCAGTACATCATCTCTGGGACGCAGAGGTCCAGTGAGCAGCTTCCCAAGAGGGGAGCCTGGCTGCGGCTCTTGGTGTGGTCCTCTGAGTCTCCCGCTCTACCTGGCATCTTTTTGGTAGTGCGGGGCAGGGCGGTGGTGGGGAGAGCCCTCCTTCCACCCACCACAGAGTTGTGGAAGTGCTGGTTGAGTGAGAAGAAAGGTGCCTTCTCCATAACGGTGTTCATTGAGCCCAGCAGCTGTTGGCAGCATGGGTGCTATGGGGGTCCTCGCTTTCAGAGGGTTGTTCTGGTTTTAGCAATGGCTGTAACCTCAGCGAGCCCTCCCACTCCCCCTTCTCCATGGAAAGCCTTGTTGGTGATCGTCGAGGTAAACTGTTGCTCAGGAGCATGGATCCAGTTTTGGCAGGCTTGACTGCTCTGATTACCACTTGCCATGGGGGGATGTCACTTCAGAAGTTGTGACTATCACACAAGCACTCGCAGATCCTGATGCTGACACCATTGGCTTGAAGTGGACAAAAAACATTGACCAGTATATTTCTGGGGCCTTTTTTTTTTTTTTTTTTTGCTGGGGGTGGGTATCTGCTGTGTAAGTGGTCCAAGGGCCAGAGCCTTGGGACGCAGAGGAGGGTGGGCAGGGCGGCTGCTGGGACACTTGGGGACACCATGAAGGTAGTCTTTATTGCTACGCCTCCTGGATGTTCCCTCGAAGAGAAGAGGCTGAATGGCAGGGCTGGGAGGAACTGTAGCCGGCCTAACTGTGCAGCTAATGAAAATTTCATGCAAAGTCTGTACCCATAGCTTCCCAGAGAGATGGCTGGTGCCAAAGCCACCGCTTCCGCCATGCTGTGCCTTGATGTTGTGATGGATACTTCGCTTTGAACTGGGCCCCAGGGAGTGCTGGCGGAAGGCAGGTGTGAGTGCTCCATCCAGAGCACACAAAGACAGGACTTCTCAGGCTGCTTTGTCAGGGCTGATGGCCATGGTTCTGAAACCCCGGCTGCCATCTTGGGTAGGGGTGGATCAGGGACTGAGGGCATCTTCCCTGCTTTCTTGGATCTAGGTGCATGACAGATGGACTTGAACTCTGATCTCACAAAGACCCTGTGAGGCAGGTCTTTACACTCCCCCATTTCACAGATGGGAGAGCTGAGGCTTCAGACACACATGGGTCATGGCAGCAATAGAGAAACCTTTTAGGAGGCCAGTGGTCTACGTGTTCCTCTCCCATTTGTTGGTTTCTCTTGGTGGCGTCTTCCCAGCCCCATTTCCTCTCTCCAGGTTCTCCAACCTGCATAGGCCCCTTCATATGGGGCCACTGAGGTGGCATCAAGTGATGGTTAGAGCATGATTTTCAAAGTCAGGCAAAAGTGTTCCAGTCCTCTTCTGCTTCTTACTTGCTGCATGATCTTGTGTAGTCATTTGCCCTTTCTGAGCTTCCATCTCCCCAGCTACATCTCGGCGGTCCTGATGGTGCCTGTCTTAGTGGGCTGTTGTAAGGGTTCGTCGGAGTGAAGCAAAGGGCTTAGCACAGTGCCTGGGACATTGTGGCCATTCACACATGATAGCTACTATTATTAGTGCATGATTATTATTAAGACTTCGATTTCTTGGGTTTGATTTCTGCCATCTCATGTGAACTTTAATTTGCTGTGGGGCCTGACTTCTGGCACAGCTGTGGTGAGCTGAGTCACGAAGGCTAGTGGTTCCTTGGGGTGACTCAGGCATGAGTAGATATGGGGTGAGGGTGCTGGACAGAGCTCCACCTGCAGGTCTTCTGTACAGCTTGGTCAACCCTTCTAAGACCTTTCAGCATCACCCCACTAGTCCCAGGTTTCCATTTCCGTGCCCTTCCCCCCTTTGCCCCCCCTGCCCTTGAAATCACTGCTAAAGGAAGGGAGAGGGGAGGAGTCCATCCTGAAGCCTGGGTTCTTGCTTGGGCAACTGGCAGACAGAAGGGCTGTGTGTGGAACTGGGGACACCATGAGGGGTTAGCCTGAGAATGGAAGAGACAGCTCTGGAAAGCTCTGGAAGCTTTTGGTGGGGTGCACCTGGTTTGCTACCCTTGATGGGCCTGGCCATTCCTGGGTCACCCTTCATTTCCTGCGATTGAGTTGATCTGTGACTTCCTTTAGCCAATGAGGGCTAAATATTAGGATCATCTGGGGAACTTAAAAAACAAACAAACAAACAAACAAAGAAACAAAAAACCCAGAACACTGTGGAGGCCATAGCCCAGACCAGTGAAGGAAGGAGCTTGTCCTGGCTGAGGCATCCGTGTTTGGAAGGCCCTCTGGTGACCCCAGCAATCAGCCGAGGATGACAACCGCTGCTTTGCCCAGGTCCCTCTGAGAGCAGGCCAGTGCAGGATGGGTGGGGAGGAAGGAGCCCATGGTAGTTAAGAGCTGTATCTTACACTCTGAAAGGTAGTGTCTGGATATTGATGGAGATTGCCCGCCTGGGGTGTGGCAGGAGTGGCCTTTCTAGAAGAAGGGCAGAATCTATTTAACTTGGAATCTGTGCCACTCGGACAAGGCTGGGCCTCATACCATTGTAACTGGGATGTTTTTGAAGTAAAGGCTCACATGCTACAAGGTTATAGGGGCCTTGGTTGGTGTGTCAACAAGACAGACACTTTCTGGATGTCTGCATCGGTTTTCTCCATGTAGTTATGACACCAAAATTTTACCTGTTCACAGCATGCCCAATTCCTTTCTCAGGATATAGTTATGCATGATTGGAACTTTAATTTACATGTTATATGTAATACTTAACAATGGTTCAAAACTCACTGGATACACAAAACAGCTTTCTGGTGTATCTTTTTTTTTTTTTTTTTTTAAAGACAGGGTCACTGGATCTTAGAGAATCTAAGCCTGACCTTTAAACAGAGACGTGCCTGGAAGTCAAGTTTTCACATTTCACTAAATTTGTCTTTTTCTCAGCCACTGTTCAAATGTGACATGCATTTAATAAAATTACATGCATTTAAAATATTTCATAATTATTGTTCCTGAGTATGCCTCATCTCCCCGCACTCATTGGTAAGATTCAAATGCACGAGAAGTCATATTATGGAAACTTTAAGCATATTACAGTTAATTCTTGAACAACATGGGCTTAAACTGTGTGAGTCCACTTGTGCGTTTTTTTTTTTTTTTTTGATAAAGTACAGTCCTATAAATATATCTTCTCAAGATTACCTTCCCATTTTTTTCTCGAGCTTACTTCATTGTAAGAACATTGTTTCTCATACATGGTAACATACAGAATATGTGTTAACTGACTGTTCATGAATTCAGTAAGGCTTCTGATCAATAGGCTATTAGCAGTTATATTTTGAGGAGTTGGATTTTCATCTGCATCGGGGTTTGGCTCCCCTCACCCCCAGAGTTGTTCAAGGGTTGACTGTATTTCCACAAAAACCCATTTTTCTCCATGTTCCTGGGACGTCTCAGTACTCCAAACCACTGGTGGTGGACACCAAAGTGTACATCTTTTATTTACTGAGTCATTGTCTGTGTCTGACAATATCGCAGGTACTTGGTCACGTTAACACCGGTCCATGACCTGTCCTTTGAGGTGGGTGCGGTGTCTTGTTCTGTAGCAAGATAAGAGGAAGATAAGGGAGGCTGAGGGGCTGGTACAAGGCCAGTGAGTGCTGGAGGCAGAATGTAAACCGCTATCTGCTTTGGGGCCTGAAGTATCCTGCCTATCCTGTCTCCCAGGCCTTTGCTTCTATAGTCCCTGCTGTTTCTCTCCTCTGGGCTATTCGGATCAAGGGATCAAGGCTCCTGGATAGCAGAGGCATTTTGGTAATAAGGCTAATAACGTCAGGGAAATGGATGGCTTTGAATGAGGGGACACCCCTGGTCTTGGTCAGAGTACACTTGGGGCCCCACACACCCATTTCTATTCCCAGAACAATAACCATGTGTAGATCATACTTTTGGGGAGGAATCTCTCTGAGAAACGAACAAGTCAGCAGGTCACTTCCCCTGACCTCAGCTTGGATGGACAGATAGGGAGACACGCAGTCTTGAAGAACTCTGCGGTGGTGGTAATCCTTTAATTGGCAGGAGACGCCATGATGATCTTACTCATTTTACTTATTTCTAAGACCCACATTCAAGTCTTTCTCAGGTCTTAGACCCCTTCAAGCTATTTTGGAGCTACAAGGCAAAACAATTTCTTTGCAGAAATGTAGAAGGTCTGTTATTCGTGGTCTTTGATGTCCTCTCTGAAATTTTACTGAGTTTCATCCTTTGCGCTGATGTCACAGGAAATTATTCACTTAAACTTCTCATAGATAGTCATCATGATGGGGTGTTGAGATCTAATCATGATTTTGCTAACTGTTCTACCATAAGGACATGAGTCACTAGTGCACACTCAGATCCCTCCCCACTAACCTCATGTTTTTTCCCCCACAAACTTAATGAACAATGGAACTTTTTCAAGGGTATGATGGTCTGTGACTTGACGGAAAATACCTGCCAATGACCTTTCTAATGTTATGATGATATGAAAATTTGATGCAATTATCGAAAATGTTTACATTCCTTCTGATTGTTTGATTCTTTTATTTTTTTTTCTCATTTATAATGCTTTCGTACTCAGGAAGTTGAGGTAGGTTTTTGACTTTTCAACTGTATGTAGACATAGCTTCCCCATAGTTGCGAAATAAAATGTAAATTTCATTCTTAATCCTAAATCTCAGTGGTAAATATTTGTTTTACTTCAGTGAACCGGCACAGCACACATTTATTTCTCATTGGTTTATCCAGGAGATGCAATTCATCAAACGCATATAAACAGTCCATTTGCTGCTTTATCTTTTCTCATTAGTTATAGTACAAGTATGATTGTCAGTTATTATCTGTGTTTTACTGGTGTGTTATTTATTGAAAGAGCAGAGCAACTGACATGGTTATTTTCTAAATCATTTTGTCTAGGGCCTGCAGGACTTTACACCAAATGTCAGACCAATTTATCAAAGACTCGCTCTATTCAGGAAGAAAGTGATTTAGAGTGTCTCTATACACATAGACCCACCTGTATTTACACGCTTACTGGTAACCATTGGGGGAATTTTGCAGGAATACAAAGATGTTAAAGCTGAAACACCTTACTTCTATTTTATACAATTTGGGTAGGATTTATTGGGTGCTTCTGAGTGATGCCTTGGGGAATATGCAGGTGAGTAAGATCTTCCTTCCCTGCTCAGAGGTAGCCGAGGCTCAGGTGTGTGGGAGTGATGTATTAACACGGAATTGGATTCATGCACACAGCTTCCAGTCCATGGTGTACACAGTTCTCAAGAGTGGGGTCTGTGGAGGGAGGCCTGGTGGGACCTCGAGTCCCTGCCCAAGCTGGGCCACTTGTGTGAGCCGCTTCCTTCAGAAGGACTGGATTCCCACTGGGTGGGGGTTTTCGCCTGGGATGGGTGGCATGAGCCTGGTGGAGAGGAGACCGGGAGCGCAACGCTGGCCCAAAGATAGAACCAGAAACAGCTCAGCGATAAAGTTCTTGAGCAGGAAGCCAGCTCCTTTGCCAGTAAGTAAACAGAATGTTTGGTACCTCCCAGTGGCTGGATTAGTACACATTTCCATGGCACACCAATTAAAATTCCAGTCAAATGTCGAATTACACAGCCGATGCACTTAAATAACGTCATCTGGAAATCTCACTTCTCCTGTGACTTCTGTTATATTTTAGAGGCGCTCTTTCCACCTGCCAACCAGCCCTTCTTCCAATTCTCCCCAGTCAAGTAGTGTGAAAATTAACCCAACTACTTTGCACTGAATCCTTCTGAGAGGGGTTTGCTCACAGTCCCTGAATGAATTGCTTTGTAAAGGTTTTGGGTTCTGTAAAGGGGGATGCCCCCTACCCAGGATCTGCAAACTGGACTTGACTACCTGACCATGAAGGGCTGTGCTTTTCCTCTTGGCATTTACCTGGTGAAGGCCACAGATGACCCAGTGGGGGCCGTCTGCCTTTGCCTCACCTTCCTTCCTTCTGTTGGTGTCCCTGTTGCCCACTCCTGCTTGAGACAAGTGAGGCTCCCATTTATTTTCCAGGCTGGGAGTCTCAGGTAATCTCCAGATGGAACTGCAGCTTCACATTCAGCTTCCCTGAAATATGTATGAAGTCGAAGTGATCTGTTCCGTGAGAGCTAAGGGTCTTTGATTATAATATCTGGAGCCGTAAGGTAGCTAATGAATGATATCATCATGTTGGGAGGTGAAAGTAAGGCAATTAGGTTTCAAAATCGGTCTCCATTTTGTTCTGCCTCCCCATCGCCTCCTCAGAGTCTGTTTTTACTTTCTGTGGGGCTGAAATTAGCACCACTGGAAAAGCAAATCCCTGGGGAATATTTGAGCTAAATTGCATCCGCCATTTTGGGGCTCTGGGGCAATGTGAGAAAAATTCAGGTGCCCATTCAAATGGGATGAAACCAGAGGTTTTTCCAATTGGTTATGATCGTCCATGATGAACAGACGTAATCACTCAAATTATATCAGAAATATATATCTGTATCTACATCATTTCATGTTAGGGAGGCTTAAAGACTTTATTCGAAGATGAATTACAGAACAGGATAATTGTATACTAATTGTGTAATAATATACAATAGTGTTCTATATATGTATTTTGAATGGACTTCCTTTCCCATGACTGTTTATCAAAACAGTATCTCTAAAGTGGTCAAAAACCCGGAGTTAAATTTCTCAGCACTAGTCACTGGCTGAGAGTACTTTAAAAGGATTTTTCCTTTTTCTGGGTTAGTAGGATATTTAACTAGTGAAATCAATGGAGAAATATGTTATTTTCTGTCTTGATCAGCTGTAGAGGATTAAATAATTGGGGCTCTAATCTTTCCCAGGCTCTGATTCTGTCTCTACCACCAGGACCACACCTCCTCCTTTCTCATCCTACATGGGTCATGATGTGTCACTTTCTTACTATAATTTTTTATGCGGACTTTTCATGCTTTCTTACAAAGGCTTTATCCTGCCTTGAAATATTTCATGATTTTGGACATAAGTCAATGGGCTCAAGTTTGAGACTGCTTCAGTTTCTAGGTTCTTACAGATTTTCACAGTCCCTGAAGAGTTGGGTAATTTTCATGTATGAAGTGGGGTAGTAAAATGGAATCAGCCTTTCCTCCTCTGGCGTTAGACTTTGGAGGAAGACCGGTAGAGGCCTGACATTATTTTACCCAGTGAGCTCCATGAAATATACATGCATAGTGACACTGCCATCTTTCATTCTTTAGCCTGTATAATGCACTGAGTTACTGAATTTAATAAACGACTGTATTTAGATAGGAGTCTTTCTACTGAAGTTTATGTTTTAAAAATTAACCCTTGCTGTGGTCCTTGCAAGTCATTTTTAAAAGCCTCATCACTAGATGATAAAAGGACCAGTGAAGAGGCCGTCTCCATTGCATACACCTCTCCTGGCATGTTTGTGGGACTTATCTGGTGTGCCTTCCCCCACAGGCTGAATGCCAGCAGGTCACCACGTTTTTGGGCCAGAAGGAAGATGAGAGGTCAGGGGCCTTCAAGTCCTGCATTGTGAGAGTATCCAGAATGGGCCCGTGCAGCAGGAGCACACTTGGGTGCAGTGCAGAATTGGGGTGGTGCAGGGATAAGGATAGTACTTGCCAGCGTGGGAGTTGTAGCTCAAGAAAACTGGCACCGCTGTCCCCAGCACAGGAGGTCCTGGGTCTGTTTTAGGACAACATACAGAGAATGTAGCTCTATCAATTTAGAAGAAAATAAGAAATGAGTTGGGGAGGTAGCTCTCCTCCTTGCACCCACCTCCAGTCTTGGGACCTGAAGAAGTGACCAGCCCTAATATTGATGGAGTGTTGGTTCAGTACCCCCAGACGGTTGTCCTAATGTGCCCTGAGCATCCGGATATGGGGACTTCTGATATGAGCACATGGTCAGGAGATGCAGGTCTAGAAGTGGCATTCTTCTGTCTGTGGCTTTTTCCACTTGAGTGGAGATGCTGCCTCCCTGGGCATTCCCGCACACATGGAGGAGGTGGATGGAGACAGCCCCTACTTGCTTGGACTTGCCCTGTGTGCAGGTCAGTCAGACTTGGCAGGTACGGTGTGACAGGGTGCTTTTTATGCCTGGACATCTCAGCCTCCAATTGGCTGCAGCTGTGCCCCCTCCCCAGGGCTCCCCGACCATCCCCCAGGTGGGCTCTGGTTCTAGTGTGCTTCCCACATGTTCATGATCTTGGCCTCCGGTAGGGGTTTCTCTTAGCTCTAGCCAAAGAGTGGCACTCAAGGTTTTACCTGCTCCTGGCTCATTGGTTTTTGCTTAGGCCATCCACTTTGCTAAAGCTGAGCAAAAAGCAGTCAGATGCAAGGAATTGTTCTCCTCACACCCAGCCTTGCTGGGCCAGGGGCTGCTTGAAGGACTCACTTTGCATAAGGAGCGCTTACTCAAGGTGCACTTCCACATCTGGCAGCAATTAGGCGGTATTATTACCTTTGCAATCAGCTTAAAATATTCTAATGCAGGTACCTGCTTTTATGACTGAAAGGCTTTGTGTTTGAAATTGGGTTTTTTTTTTTTTCCCCCCAAGAAATTTGTAAAAATGGCCATTGTAGTTAACCTGGAAAAGTGACTGGGGGCCCAGAAGCGTGCTTCGCATGCCAGCCAGCTTCCAAAGTTGGTGGAAATCATTAGGGAATATTCACCTCTTGAGACTTACTCAAACCTTTCCTTGACATCAAAGGGAATGTGGCATGGGAAATTAAAGTAAAGGGACTTGTCTTTGGCTCTAGTCCTTCCCTGTCAGACACACATCCTAAGCTTCCAAGGACTTCCATGTTTCAGAACAGCATGTTCAAGTAGAAAATATTTCACAAGATTCCACATTGCCATTGGACAGGAAGCTGGCCTCTGTATGCGGAGGGGATATTGACGGACCATAGCTGGAAGGATTGATGTTTTTTTTTTTTCTCTATTGGTGAGGATGGGTTCTTCCTGGATTAATTCTTCCCATGTCCTCGTGAACAGAATGGGTGGATAACACAGTTGTGTCTAGGGCTGAGAGCCCATTGGCCATCCAACTAAGAAATTGGGTGCTAAATTTTTCCCACGTACTGTCCAGTCCTTAACTTATTTAATACTAGCTGTTGAGTCTCAGGCCACGCAGTTTGAAAGATTAGGATTGTATTTAAAATCATAGGGGGACAGAGATATGGCAGAGGGCTTGTTTGTAACGTTCTCCATGACATTTCATGGTGTGGCCCTTGGAGACTTCCTAACCAGATGGGTGAGGAGGTCATTTATGCCATAGCATTAAAGCCAGAGGAAAGTGGGCCAATTCCATGGAGTTAAAAATAATTTAATGCTGAATCCCCAGGATCCAGAGGAAACGGTTCATGTTTATTCATGCTCTGGAAAATGGAATCACTGCCCAAGAAGCAATATGTTATGATTTTACTCCAAATCCAGTTTGCTAAAATCTGTTTAAGGGCTTAGGTGAACTCAACAAGGATATAATAAGGCCAGGTAATTGAACAACACAGAGACTGATAAAATTCTCGGGAGATCATGTCGGAGATAAACTGCAGCAGGAGGCAGTGTGGACAATAATTTAAACTAATTGTGCACTTTGATGTAAATTAACTTCTCAGGAAGAGAAATTGAGGCCTCATTGTAGGCAGCTCTCTGAAACTGCGGCATGTAGAGTACTTGCCAGAAACACACGCAGCAAGTATTATCAGCTACATGGAGGAGGAAATTAACTGAACAAGTGCACAAGCCTTAAAATGATACGGTGATGATAAACACGGGTGAAGCCTCTTCACCTGGCAGTCTGATTGAGGGGACAGTGGGTGTGCTAATGCCGGGGGCTGAATGCTCAGCTGGGGGTGGGGGGCGGAAGATAAAGAGAACAGGCAGCCTTTAATAAGGAGATGTTATTAAAAGTGAAGTAGTTAATGTAACTGTGAATAAATGAGTGGCCTAGACCCTGGGAATTTCAAAGTAGCGAAGTGTCTAGCCTTAGAGCATAAATTGATACAAGCAGCAGGCAAGAAGGACATGGTTTTTGAATTGGCCAGCTTGGCCGACCGACCTCTGTTATTTTATTGTTACACACCTAGAAGGAATGGTGGGAAGCTCAGTGCATGCCCTTGGCTCATTCTAACATTGGAGGGGCCAGTCTGTTTTTAACCTTAGTGAGTGTTGAAAAACTGGAACTGCACACCACGAATTCCATGTCTCCACATGCAAGGAATGTTGACAGTTGAAATTATCAGCTGTTACAAACACAGAGGCTTAATCATAAGTGAGGGCAGCAAGGCATCACCTGCAGGATAATTGATAGCAAATCCACCTTGCACTTGGAAGGTGTCGTGGTTTATCTGTCAAGCCAAGAGAAGCAGCGTTGTTGCCATATTAGGCTGAAATTTTTTTTTACTATTCCCGGTGTTTAATCCATATAGTTTGAAAAGACAAGAATTTGAAAAGTAAATTGATATTTTTGATTTTACATGCATGTCTGTTTGGGGAAAGGTTTCTAAGCTGTGTGTGTTTTCCTTTGTGGTTTGGGAGGTGGGGAGAAAGGCTGGTTTTTAATGCAGTGATGTGAGAAGCTTTCTGAAATCTGACCTTCGTTTTCTATTTTTTTTTCCTTATATAGGATGATTATTTCAGAAGCTGGAATCCCAACAAGCCCTTTGACCAAGGTAAAGGATGCATTATTTCTTGTTGTATATTCCATGGGAAATGCAGTCTCATTTTTCCTTCTTTACATGCTGAGTTACTGTTCCTAAGAATGCCAGAGAGCTGTCTTACTTGACTGACTTGGGGGTCTGAAGTGAGTATGGTGATAGAAACTATCTTGTCCATTTTGTTATTTGTCTGAGATCACCTGAGACATATTCTTCAACATGTATTGAATTGACTACAATCATTGGAGGTTTATTTATTTATTTATTTAAACACCACCACTACAAAAGAGTAAAATGCTTATCACAGTAACCTGGTGAGTTGGGTAGAATCCAGTGATTTCTTCCATGGAACGGCTGGCCTGGGAATGTGCAACTGACATGAGCTATAAAAATGAAACTTTCTTTGTAGAAACGGGTTCATCCCAGGAGGCTTTCAAGGGCACTAATATTTCATTTGTTAAATAACTTCTTCATGGCTTCTAAATAGAAGCTTGTTTCTGAGTCTGCTCACTGACCACTCGGGTGTAACCTTGGGCCTCAGAGGGCTCTTGGTACTCATGCCAGCAAGCATGTAGCCCGTCTACGGATGGCCATTGTAAGTCACTCCCAGGGTGCTCCTGTGAGTTATTTAAGAAAGACTGAGGACCTGCCGTGAATCACATCCCTGTGCCTGTTGTTCCATATGTGACTGCTGTAGCCATAGAACCGGTGGCTGAAAATGATGCTAGATTGTACTTGAAGTATGTATATGCAGTTAATACCGAAACCTGGAGGAAAAAGATTACTGACCATGCATCAAAGGTTCATACTTCTGAGGATGAACTTCAGTTCTGTGGCTTGACTGTTTGATGCAATCCCGATGGTTGCCCTGACAAAAAAGAAATCAAGGAGGGAATTGCCATGTAATGAATGTGTTAGAAGGCACCCCCTTCTCCTCTCTCCTTTGTCACTCTAATGGGTCCCTCTGTCCCTGGACTCTGTTTTTTTTTTTTTTTTTTGTTTGTTTTGTTTTTGTTTTTTAAACAAAATTGGTGTTAGGATTTCTTCATGTGCATTTTAGCTCATGCCTCCAAGTCGGGCAACATAGTATTCATTCATTCATTCATACATGCATTCATTCATTCATTCTCAAAGTTGAATACCCACTGTGTACACAAGCACCAAGCCTGGTTCTGGGAACAAAACAAAAGCTGTGGTGCCCATGCTGGGGGATGCTGAGAGCAGAGGGTGGGGAGGTAACCCAGTCAGTGGTTTCGGTGGGATGTGTTCAGGGTCTTAAGGTAGGTATGTGCAGGACAAGTGGTGAAGCTATAGGTGGGGAATTTACCATTTGTTGCACGCTTCTTGGGGAGCAGGTCCCGGGAAAGGCTTTCCTTTGGAGATCAGTCCAGACTTCCCATATCTTTGCAGCCTCCACGAGCCTCTCTCCTTTGTAACTTTACCAATGACTGAGTTGTCACAATAAGTCACATTAAAGCATACGAAGATATTTCTAATGCAATTTATAAATTTCCCATTGAAAATGGTCGAAATTTCTCAACATTACTTTTGAAAGGCTGTACCTTCCTTTTGGAACAGCTCTGATACACAACACTCTCTCTCTCTGGGCCTCACAGACACACCCTCCCGTAAACATGCCCTCTAGGATTTTGCTTACGGAGGTCTCTGAATGGAAAGTGGCAGCGGACTGATTGTTTCCAGCCCTGAAACAGAAATGGATTCTTGTCCTTTGAGAATCAAGTGTTGTCTAACCACCAGATTGACTCTGCCCCAAGACTTGCACACAAATACTTAAACTTCACCAGGGGAAGACATTTTCATTTTCACTAGTATACACTGGAAAAGATAAGTACTTGAAGGTGGGTTTCATTTGCCACTTGGGGATGTATATGATCACTTGCCTTGATTGGGGGGTTAACACAGAAACTTTGAGCATCAAAAAGAGCATGAGACTTAAATCTGCTGAACCAAAAAGTCCAAAGAAGGATTTTTGTCTCCTAGGAATGATGGCAGGCATTTCCAGCAGATTCCCACCCCTGCTCCCTCTTTTTCTAGCTCTGCAGGCAAAAACTGGATCTGCTTAGATAAATCTTCCTTCGATAAAACCTCATGCCTTTATGGGGTATAATTGAGGACCTTAGCCGAGAAGCCCCACTTTGTAGCTCAGGTGTAGCTGCTGTTGGCTATTTATATACAGAGCCCTGGGGAGAGCAGGCAGAGCTGAGAATAGCCTTCACTTAAAATATCAGCCCCAGCAGATGTCATCAATTCCATTGTGTGCTGCTCAATAAATATGGGAGGTTACTATATCAGTGTTGACACCACTTGGTGAAATATAAACCGTAGGCATGGAAGATGTAGAGCATTTCATCTTCCAGATAATAGGAGAATTGCTGAACTCCAGTGAAAGTTGTCAGCTGCAGCGAGAAGTCATTTCCCTGCCTAAGCTTAAAAGGAATCAAACATGTTTCGAGTGGTTTTGGGGTTGGAGAAAACTTGGAGCTGGTAGCAAGGGCACTCGTTGAAAGACATCACAGGGTTTCACGTGACAATTACGCAAGGGCATGGCAGTGGACATGGCTTCCCGATGGCCTTGGGGGTGAGGTGGGCTGAAAATGCATGGGAGAAGCAGCGGGGGCGGGGGGGTGTCATGAGGGATCGTGGTGGAGAAGAGCCAGGACGGTGGGTTTGAGGCAGGTTTCGACGGATCCTTCCTACCAATCCGTGAAATTTGCACTTTGTTTTCTTGGCAGTGGGGAACCAGAGAAAGGTTTTTTCAGCAGAGGAATGACGCAGTGAAGGCAGTATTTTAGAGGACTGAGTTTGGTGACTCAGCAGCTGCGGTGAGGAGCCCAAGGTGCAGCTGCTAGATGACGTCCCTCCCACGGACTCCTGCGTGACTTGTCCCTTGCCCCTTCCATTGCCTTGGAGCTTTGGGCTCTGGCTGTCGCAGGCGGTCAGACACAGCATCCAGCCCTGGAGCCTGATCCCTGAAATGCCCCCGGAGCTCCGGCTTCTTGTAGGTGTTGGTGCGAGTGGTTAGGACACTCGTAGTGTGGATGAAGCAGTTACTTGTAACTGTACTCTCTGCTTCAGGATATTTACTGACCTTGGAACAACAGGACTTTGTGGAGGGCCCTTACCATGTAATTGACTTGTAAGGAAGTCACTTGGTGGTCTCCTTCCAAGAGGCTGAAAACATCTTTAACTTGTTATCCTAAAGTGAATCCTGAATGTTTCTGTCTGTGGAATATAAGAGCCATCAACTTCAGGCCTTTCGGAGAATTCTTTGTGAGATTTGGATAAGTAGTATACACCCTTTTGGGTATGATAATGATTTAATGCCAGGTCTCCTCACAGAAGGGACAGAGAGGAGTTCAGAACTGAGGGGAACACTCAGGGGAGACATTGCCTTTGTGAAGTCCCCAATGCCAGTCGCCCTGCGGGGAGAGCTGGGCAGGCTGCCGGGTTGGAGAGGGCACAGGCTGTTGTGCGTGGTTCTTGTCTTGTGTGGGCAAGAGTGGAGGCCCCGGGGTGGACCTCTGCAGGAGGCTGAGGCTCTAGAGTTCGGACACGTTCCCAGAGACTTGGGTGGCCTCTCTTGTTCTGCTCTTCGAGCATATTCCATCACCTGGCCCCTAGCAAATCTGGACACACATAGTGGGTGAGGAGCAGGTATGAGGTTTCTGTTTCCTGAAGTGGTGTCTGGTCCAGCAAAGTGCTTCTCTAAGAAAACAGTCCTTGGTGCAGTAAGTTTGGGACCCACATAAACTCTGTGCTTCTCCTAGAGATTCACAGGGCTCATTCGTGATTGAAAAGCTCAGAGAAGTCTTTTGGCAAAGAATCCCATTTAACTTCCCATTTTTCTCAATCTGCCTTTGACCGCATGCTCATTTTTATTTTTTCGCTCCATGCCTATCAGGTACCCAGAGAAAGTAGCATGTTCTGTGGGATGCGCTTTGGTAAGTGTGGTGTTGGTGGGTGGGGGGGGACTTGGGGTTTGCAGTCAGACTCTCCACGTTTGGAACGTGACCCCACCAGCTCTTAGCTGAGTGATTCTGGCGAATTGCTTCACTTCTCTGCATCGAAGCCTTCAAATGTGGTGACAGCACCAGGAAAAGCATTGGGAGGATGAAATGAGTTAATGTCTGGCATACAGTAAGTGCTCCATAAGTGCTCCTTCAGCAATTAATTGATCTTTTTCATTACCTCTTCCTCCTGTTAACCTGTCTCCCCCTCTTACTTCCTTCCTTTTCCACTTGGGTTTTATTTCTCTCTTCCTTTCTTCCCTTCTGGGGGCCTTAAGAGTTGTGATGCTATGGAGCTCCCGGGGTAAGGCGGAACTGACCTCTTTCACACCAGGCGGGTGGGTCACCACAGTGGTGTACCCCAGATCCTCATTTTGGGGGCTGAAGAGGTTCAGGCTCTTAATATGCTCCTTTCTTCCTTCCTCGCATCTACCCATAAACGGTTGTCAAATGCTCCACATTTCACGTGCTGTGCTGGATAATAGGGACCCCAGTAAGAAAGGGCTCTCTGTGGGACGCTCCCAATTATCAGTCAATCAGAAGCCATCCATCTAAGGTCTTAAGCTCGGAGAGCATGTATATACTGGGAAGGGGGCTGCTGGGGGCTGGCAGCAAGAGCTGGGGCTGGTGGGGGTGGGTCAGGCGAGGAGTGTTGGTCTCAGAAACTGAGAAATCCATAAGATGTCAAGTGTTAATATGACTGACATAGGTCAGTGTGAGTTGAGGGGGCATTTTCTGTTACAACTTGGCCTCACTCAGCCTGTGCCTGTGGATTAGGCTGCCCATGCTGTAACTACCAACCTTCCCTAGTAACAGCCACCTTCAGAGTGGTAATAAGGGTGCTGTCCCAAAGGTTCTCTTTTTTCTTAGAGTGGGGTGGCTGAGGAAGCGAGGCTCGGAGCAGAAAGGCAGAGACCATTTACCAGACCACGGTGTTGTGTTAAAAGAATAAAAGGTGTTGCTTTCTGTCATAGAATAGAGGATGAA